TGATGGATGAGAGGATCTTCAAGATCTTCTCTCCCCAGCCCCCGCACTCCACAGTCTTACAGAGAGAGACAGGCCCAGAGGGCAGCAGTCAGGGCATTGGCTGTACGTGCCATGCAGCTGGAAGGAGATGAGACTGGGTGGAAGGGTCGACGGCCCAACATCCCAGAGCCCAGAAGGGACTGAGGGAACCCTTTCTAGGGCCACTGGAAGGTTGTAAGTGCCTCACAGTTGCCCAAAGAAGATTGATCCAGCCCCAACAGGTAATGAGGTGAGAGGCCCTCCCCTCCCACTCAGCCCAGACAGGGGAAGTGGCAAGCCACTTGGACTTCCTCACTCCAGCCTTTCAGCCCCAAGTTAGCTTCATGCCAAGAGGCCATTTCCTTCCTGCTGGGAGTGAGGATGCGGGGCATTTGTTCACGTCTCTGGCAGGTGAATCCCCCACGGGTATCTCTTAACCTCCCTGGGCCTCATGCCCTCTGCCTAGGTCAGCGGTTCTCAACCTGTGGGTCTCAACCCCCTTCGAGGCCGAAGGACCCTTTCACAGGAGTCGCCCGATTCCTAACAGTAGCAAAATGACAGTGATGAAGTAGCAACGAAGATAATGTTAGTGGGGGGGTGGGGGGGCTGGTCACGACATGAGGAACTGTGTGAAAGGGTCTTGGCATTAGGAAGGTTGAGAACCACTGGCCCAGGTGAAGGGTCCACCAAGGATGTTCTTTGGAAGAGGACCTGAGGTTCCAGAGGTACGCTGTCTCTTCCCCCTGACCTTTGTCTCCTTGCCCCAGGCTCCCATCACTTTCTCAGCCTCCCTAATCTCACTCTCCTGCAGTGTGGGAGGGAGGCGAAGCCAGTCAAAGATGGGGTTGTGGGCGGGCTCCTCGGGACAGGGGTGATGCCAGGGCTCTGAGTCACTCACGGCTGCCTCAGCGGAGAGGTGGGGGTGGGAGTCGGGCTGTAAACACAAACTCCACCTCACCCCAGAGACCGATAGTCGCTCACACAAGTCACCCCCACATGTTTCCCCAGCGCATACTCGCTGCCAGGCATTGTGCAGGGCTGGTGACAAGTCGTGCACAAGCCCCACCAATGGGCACAGCCACCCTCCCACCCAGGCAGATGGCGCACCAGCCCCACCGCACCCCCACCCCCGTCCAGACAGTGGACAGTGAAGGCCACGCTGTCTTTCCCAGCCCTCAGCCCCAATCTACTCTCACCCGGGACTCCCAGGCACCCACCTTCCTTCTGCGGCCCAAGGGAAGTTGCATCTTCTGCCCTCCTGCCCTCCTCAGAGAGGGAGAGCTAGCTGTCTGCTGTAGCTCCTTTCCAGTGACCTCCATCTCTGGAGAGTCACCCACCCAGAGTCCCACCCCCCACCCCCCAGTCAGCGGACGTTAAGGGTAGAGGGGTTGGAAGCTGCTGCTCGGAAGAGATGATCCATCAGGAAATATCCACTGAGCTCCCGACAGGGCACAGGCTAGAAAAAAAAATGCAGGATGGGAAAGGGCATTACCTTTGCCCTTGAAGAGCCCGAGGGTGGCTTCCTGACGTATCCTGGTCCTGATGGTTGTCACTGTAGCCGCTTGCCATTGAAATGGCACCAAGACAACAGAAGGAACTGGGGCTCAGGCCTGTGCAGACCAACAGCCTGTCCGTTGGGAAGCTCAAGTTCATGGCTGCAGCCACTATGTGTTTGAAGTGCCTTCCCCACCACCTGAGCGCTCATCTTCCAGCACGCTATCTGACACTGTTCTCAGGTGGTCCGTGGGGCTTTTCCTGGTGATGCTCAGGAGTACGAGGTGGTATCCAAAAAAAAAAAAAACGAATTTTTTTCAAAACTGTGTATTTAAATTATTTTACAAAATAACGTTATCACCTTCAAAAGTACTCTCCATGACGCTTAATTGTCAAATCTGCAGTTCCATTCTTGAAAACATTTTTTGAATGCATCTGTGTGGATGGCTGGCAGCACCTCCCTCATTTTTGTCTTCACCTCTTCTATGTCGTCAAATTGCTGTCCTTTCAGACCCCTCTTCATTCACGGAAACAAAAAGAAGTCGCACAGAGCGAGGTCAGGTGAGTCGGGTGTTTGGAACAAGAGAGGCATGCTGTTTATTACCAAAAACTGGCACACTGAGATGGCTGCAGGAGCAGGTGCATTGTCTTGGCGGCAAAACC